TATTTTTTTCCATGTGAATGTTCCATGTCCATCTACTGGAGGGTAATTATAGTCACCATTTGTTTTTGTGATAAGTGGCGCCCTATTTCTGTATTGTATATACAGTTCTGTTTGCACATTAAACTCATTTTTTCTTTAGTTTTATTTTAGTTTTGAATAGCTCTTAATTCATTATCTAAATATTCATCTAATTTTAGGATAACATTCCTAGTAAGAAATAATTGGTCAAGTACTATCATCGAGATTCATGATCTCAACCATTGGAAAGCATTAGTAGGCTATTGCACATACATGGATAAATGCTGCACTGCACCAATCAGATGATCTCTATCGGGCCATCTGATTGATAAAGCAGAGTTCTACTCGGCTGTTTTGTCAGAAGTGCCTTAAAAATGCTTAAACTTGCAAGGATAAAATGGGGGGAGGGTGGAACCAAGACTTCTTCATTGAGATGAAATGGTGTTGGTGCACGTACTGTCCCGTTAAATGTCATTTGCATGTTTTTTTTCTTAAAAGACAAATGTCATCAAAATTTCACTTCACGTTTTTTTAAAAAGTTAATCACATTTAATGTAACTTAATAACTTTTTTAAAAATGATATATAGATTGCCGTGAAAAACAAAAAACAAAAAATACATAATTTTCATTAAATGCAATAAACTTTAAAAAACAAGAAGTGAAAATTTGATGACAGTTGTCCTTTAATTTACAGCGAAGTTAAAAAGCTACTCTAATTATCATAACCTCTACAGCCCACTCTAGTGACAGACTCAAGGCACCATAACCACTTCAAACCACTGTAGTAGTCAGTGTGCCTTTGTAACCCTATAATATATACAACATGTTAGCCTACAAAATCTCCTGAAATATCATTTGTGGTGGAATTCATCATCTTAGCATTTGGAAAGAAACTTTGTCTCCACAGACATTCTGTGTAAGAATGCAGGTGAGCTTTAGAACCAATATCCAATTCCATATTTAATCTGATCTCATTCCACATGCATTACGGCTATGGTAACCACATTTTCGTAAACAAAACCGGAGACATTTAATATATTTATAGAACTGTAGTGATGTTATAATTTAATGAAATAAAATCTAAACAGTATTTTCTCTAACATTCCTGATCCAGTGGTAAAGATGTTTAGACTGGCCCTTTAACTGTCAAATAGTCAAAAAGACTATTTTACTCTAAATTTTGCAGTTCAGTTTTCCCTTTGCTACAGTTTAGAGTTGTGAAAGGAAAGCATGAGTTGAGGTGACAAACAGGCCGACAAGGACAGGAACACATGTGAAGAATCAGGCCAAGGACAGACAGTGCGATCAATAAAGAGAATCCGAGAATCTGAATATATTGTTAAGCCGAGAGATTTATGAAGTTGACCAACTTACATACCTTCGGTTAGACCCCAGCCCAAAATGAATTTTCTGTTTCATTTGTAACTAGAGATTTTATATTCAGTAGGCTTGTGGACTATACATATTTTTGGGATACGGGAATTTCAACCAAATGTCAATTTCACTCGGCTGGATTTAGGATATAGGATGCTGATTTGGAAATGAATCAAAACAAAAAAATGGCACAAAAATAGGCCAACGATTGTACTACAAAATATTTACATACAGGTGGTCCTCACTTTACGACCTAACTGTTTTACGATGGCTCACACTTATGACCAGCTCTCTAGTGTGGGGATTCAAGGGATTCCCCACGTTAGACAGCTGGTCTATATTCAGGGAATTTTCCCCGAACATGGATTACAGGGATTCTCTGCGCTGCTGCGTTTGTCTATGTTCGGGGAAATTTTCCCTAACATAGACCCGCACTGGTGTGCATGCTCTGCAGCGCATCCTCACTTACCGACCAATTCATTTTATGACCGAGTCATAAGAATGGAACCCAGTCAGTAAGTGAGGAGTAGCTGTAATCGAATATAGTCAAGACATTGTTAAACACATATCTGCACACCAGTCAAGCCATAAGACTTGCTTTTCCCATAGAAATATAAAATTTGCAGTGATGTTACTGCTGCAAGGGATTCTGGGTGGGCATATGCAAATTGATCAACAAAGAATCACATTTTTGCTTCATTCCATTTTAAACATGGATTCCTTGGATTTCATGTTTGCTGTATAAAACAGGGTTAAAACACAACTCAGGAAGAAATAAAAAGCCAGTGAACCACTCATGCTTTGGATCTATTCCTGAGTTGTGTTTCCAAACTGTTGTATACAGCATGACATGTGCACAGACGTTATTCGGCATGTGCTAACTATACTTAAATAATACACGGACACCAATTATTCTGTTGGAGTATAATGTCCACAGCTTTATTAATTATTAAAATATTTCAATTAACAATTTAGGGTCATTGTCAACAGTAATAACTTCGTTCCGCTGCGTCCCCCAAAATACCCCTGACAATGACCCTACCAAAGAACAATATGAACATTTATAAATAATACATAACGAATAACACCCGGCCTACCAAAGAGGCCCCACAACATTTGTCTACCTGCAGGGGTGTACCCAGACACCCCTACACCCCTTGGTTCGTAGCCACCGACAGGCTCGAACCTACCAAACACTTTAACTCCGGCCTACTCCAGCTTAGACCTTGGCCTAACACTTTCTTAACCCACAAAATTCCTGTTTAACCAAGCTGTTATAATCTTAGTATCTCTCACTATACTCTGTGCTGTTACAATCTTAGTATCTCTCACTATACTCTGTGCTGTTACAATCTTAGTATCTCTCACTATACTCTGTGCTGTTACAATCTTAGTATCTCTCACTATACTCTGTGCTGTTACAATCTTAGTATCTCTCACTATACTCTGTGTTACAATTTAGTATCTCTCACTATACTCTGTGCTGTTACAATATTAGTATCTCTCACTATACTCTGTGCTGTTACAATATTAGTATCTCTCACTATACTCTGTGCTGTTACAATCTTAGTATCTCTCACTATACTCTGTGCTGTTACAATCTTAGTATCTCTCACTATACTGTGCGCTGTTACAGTCTTAGTATCTCTCAGTATACTCTGTGCTATTACAATATTAGTATATTTCACTATACTCTGTGCTGTTACAATCTTAGTATCTCTCACTATACTCTGTGCTGTTACAATCTTAGTATCTCTCACTATACTCTGTCCTGTTACAATATTAGTATCTCTCACTATACTCTGTGCTGTTACAATCTTAGTATCTCTCACTATACTCTGTGCTGTTACAATCTTAGTATCTCTCACTATACTCTGTGCTGTTACAATCTTAGTATCTCTCACTATACTCTGTGCTGTTACAATCTTAGTATCTCTCACTATACTCTGTGCTGTTACAATCTTAGTATCTCTCATTATACTCTGTGCTGTTACAATCTTAGTATCTCTCACTATACTCTGTGCTGTTACAATCTTAGTATCTCTCACTATACTCTGTGCTGTTACAATCTTAGTATCTCTCACTATACTGTGCGCTGTTACAGTCTTAGTATCTCTCAGTATACTCTGTGCTATTACAATATTAGTATATTTCACTATACTCTGTGCTGTTACAATCTTAGTATCTCTCACTATACTCTGTGCTGTTACAATCTTAGTATCTCACACTATACTCTGCGCTGTTACAGTCTTAGTATCTCTCAGTATACTCTGTGCTGTTACAATCTTAGTATCTCTCACTATACTCTGCGCTGTTACAATCTTAGTATCTCTCATTATACTCTGTGCTGTTACAATCTTAGTATCTCTCACTATACTCTGTGCTGTTACAATCTTAGTATCTCACACTATACTCTGTGCTGTTACAATCTTAGTATCTCTCATTATACTCTGTGCTGTTACAATCTTAGTATCTCTCACTATACTCTGTGCTGTTACAATCTTAGTATCTCTCACTATACTCTGTGCTGTTACAGTCTTAGTATCTCTCACTTTACTCTGCGCTGTTACAATCTTAGTATCTCTCACTATGCTCTGTGCTGTTACAATCTTAGTATCTCTCACTATACTCTGCCCTGTTACAATCTTAGTATCTCTCACTATACTCTGTGCTGTTACAATCTTAGTATCTCTCACTATACTCTGTGCTGTTACAATCTTAGTATCTCTCACTATACTCTGCACTGTTACAGTCTTAGTATCTCTCACTATACTCTGTGCTGTTACAATCTTAGTATCTCTCAGTATACTCTGTGCTGTTACAATATTAGTATCTCTCACTATACTCTGCCCTGTTACAATCTTAGTATCTCTCACTATACTCTGCGCTGTTACAATCTTAGTATCTCTCACTATACTCTGCACTGTTACAGTATTAGTATCTCTCATACTCTGCGCTGTTACAATCTTAGTATCTCTCACTTTACTCTGTGCTGTTACAATCTTAGTATCTCTCACTTTACTCTGTGCTGTTACAATATTAGTACCTCTCACGCTGGGTTTCGCTAGGTTTGATACCTTTAATGCCTTATTACTTTTGCCTTCTCTCTCTGGTTTAGTAGGAAATGAAGTCTAGACCTTTAATAATATAGCCCATGGGATTGGAGGGGCTGTTTTAACCTTTTAGGGATCTAAAATCAGACTAGGGTGAAGACCAATCCAATCATTGAGAACTGTACTGCGATGCTGAAAGAGTTAATCATTTCTTTTTATTTTTTAAATACACCTCAAATATTATTATCCTTAAAAAGCACATAAAATAAGCAGCATTGCATGAATGTTAGCTAGATGTATTACTAAACGTTTATCGCTATATAAAGCATTACATATCACGATGCTCAGTAACCATCATCACCATTATAACCGATGTCACCGGTCTATGGTATATGATCTATGGTGCTTTATGAAGGAATCTCTTGTGGTTATTGGAAAAGGCCAATCTCCCACCAAAGGTGCTTTGTGAATGTGCAGCAGGCTGTGGTCTGGAAAGGGTTAATCCCAGGACAGGATTCTTGCATTCCCCTAAAGGAGGTGCCTTTGGTGATAGTCTGCTGTGTGCTGCCCTCCTTGGGAAGCTGCTGGGAAGCTGTACTACAAATCTTGACGTAGTTGTGTCATGCTGATTTTCACACTCTCTCTCTCCAGCTTTATAGCTGTGGGACGCAGCTCCTGAAGCCAGCAAGTTCTGCTACCCCTGGGGCTGGAAACATGTTCCGTGAAGCCAGAGAAGTTCGCTTTCTCCTGGGATTTTCTGTGCTTTTCATCGCCTCTCACACAGAAGCCAAAGCGAAAGTTCGTAAGTAACACAAAACCCATTCACGTGGGAAATTGGGGAACCAGGATAAGACGCTGTCATCGATCTTCACACAGCGAGACTTTTTCTGGTGCAGTGGAGAGAAACGTGCCTAACATGTCATAGACAGGTCTGTAGAAAGCCTGAAACACGAGCGCAACAAGTGGGCAAAATATGATAACAGCAGGTTTTGGCGTGTAACATGATCACGCTAGTGTAAATGTTACACCACAGAGGGCAAGACGTTTTAGACGGATTGGTTACGGTGATAATGAATGTAAGCAGTGCTGGGGACAGCTGGACAGTTAGACTTGGACATGGGACGATAAGGCAGCGGAACTCTCAGGTGCAGAATGGGAGTGTGACAGCCGGAGGAATATAAGGGATTAGAGGGCATCAGGAATAAAGACACAGAGAGGCGAGGGCATCAGGAACAAAGAGACAGAGAGGCGAGGGCATCAGGAATAAAGAGACAGAGAGGTGAGGGCATCAGGAATAAAGAGACAGAGAGGTGAGGGCTTCAGGAATAAATAGACAGAGAGGTGAGGGTATCAGGAATAAAGAGACAGAGAGGTGAGGGTATCAGGAATAAAGAGACAGGGAGGTGAGGGTATCAGGAATAAAGAGACAGAGAGGTGAGGGTATCAGGAATAAAGAGACAGGGAGGTGAGGGTATCAGGAATAAGGAGACAGAGAGGCAAAGGCATCAGGCAATACATTGTGCAAGGAGATAGGGTATTAAGTAATATAGAAGGCAAGAGGCGAGAGTATTAGGGAATAGATACAGCGATGGCTGAGAGTATTATGGAAGAGATACAGCGATGGCTGAGAGTATTAGGAAATAGATACAGCGATGGCTGAGAGTATTAGGGAATAGATACAGCAATGGCTGAGAGTATTAGGGAATAGATACAGCAATGGCTGAGAGTATTAGGGAATAGATACAGCGATGGCTGAGAGTATTGGGGAATAGATACAGAGATGGCTGAGCGTATTAGGGAATAGATACAGCGATGGCTGAGAGTATTAGGGAATAGATACAGAGATGGCTGAGAGTATTGGGGAATAGATACAGCGATGGCTGAGAGTATTAGGAAATAGATACAGAGATGGCTGAAAGTATTGGGAAATAGATACAGAGATGGCTGAGAGTATTAGGGAATAGATGCAGAGATGGCTGAGACTATTGGGGAATAGATACAGAGATGGCTGAAAGTATTAGGGAAAAGATACAACAATGGCCGAGAGTATTAGGGAATAGATACATCGATGACTGAGAGTATTAGGAAATAGATACAGAGATGGCTGAAAGTATTGGGGAATAGATACAGAGATGGCTGAGAGTATTAGGGAAAAGATACAACAATGGCCGAGAGTATTAGGGAATAGATACATCGATGACTGAGAGTATTAGGAAATAGATACAGAGATGGCTGAAAGTATTGGGGAATAGATACAGAGATGGCTGAGAGTATTAGGGAATAGATGCAGAGATGGCTGAGACTATTGGGGAATAGATACATCGATGGCTGAGAGTATTAGGGAGCAGAGACAGTGAGGGGTTAATGTATTGATAATACAAAATAAGAGTTGATGGTATAACCCTGTAGAGATAGTCAGAGGAGATTAAGTAACAGAAACAATGAAAGTATTAGGGATCCGAGACTGTTAGATTGTTGGGTAACAGATACAGTAAAAGTAGTGGGTATTAGAATTTGGTAGCATATAGAAAGAAGAGAGGGGTAATGAGATGTAAATATACACGAGAATAGAGACTGAGATTACTGAGGGTCTTAGGTAGTAGAGGGACCCAGAAGAGATTAGAGACAGTAAGAATTGAGGGCATTAGGTAATAGAGACAGTGATATGTGATGGTATTACATTATAAGAATAGTAAAATATGGGGATTAGGTAATAAAAACAATAAGATTCATAGGGAAAAGAGACAGTAAGAATATTAGGATTTAGAGACAATGAGACAACAGAGACAATTAGAGAAGTGAGGGTATTAGGTGATATAGACAGTACGAGGTGAGGGTATTAGGTAACATAGACAGTGAGAGGTGAGGGTATTAGGTGATATACACAGTAAGTGGTGAGTGTATTAGATGATCTAGACAGTGAGAGGTGAGGGTATTAGGTAACAGAGACCATGAGAGGTGAGGGTATTTGGTGATATAGACAGTGAGAGGTGAGGGTATTATGTGATATAGACAGTAAGATGTAAGGGTATTAGGTAATATAGACAGTAAGATGTGAGGGTATTAGGTGATATAGACAATAAGAGCTGAGGGTATTAGGTAACAGAGCCAGTCAGAGCTGATGGTATTAGGTGATATAGACAATGAGAGGTGAGGGTATTAGGTGATATAGACAGTAAGAGCTGAGGGTATTAGGTGATATAGACAGTAAGAGCTGAGGGTATTAGGTGATATAGACAGTGAGAGGTGAGGGTATTAGGTGATATAGACAGTGAGAGGTGAGGGTATTAGGTGATATAGACAATGAGAGGTGAGGGTATTAGGTTATATAGACAGTGATGAGAGGTAAGGGTATTAGGTGATATAGACAATGAGAGGTGAGGGTATTAGATGATATAGACAGTAAGAGGTGAGGGTACTAGGTAATATAGACAGTGAGAGGTGAGGGTACTAGGTAATATAGACAGTAAGAGGTGAGGGTACTAGGTAATATAGACAGTGAGAGGTGAGGGTATTAGATGATATAGACAGTAAGAGCTGAGGGTATTAGGTGATATAGACAGTAAGAGCTGAGGGTATTAGGTGATATAGACAGTGAGAGGTGAGGGTACTAGGTAATATAGACAGTGAGAGGTGAGGGTATTAGGTGATATAGACAGTGAGAGGTGAGGGTATTAGGTAACATAGACAGCAAGAGGTGAGGGTATTAGCGAATATAGACAGTACGAGGTGAGGGTATTAGGTTATATAGACAGTACGAGGTGAGGGTATT